AGGAAGGCCTAGATCGCCGTGGGCATATCGATGCGAATTCGTGACTTAAGACGCACTTGAAAGAATACAAGGCTTAAGTGAGGTCTTTCTGACCTTTGACCGCAATAAAAGGAAAATCGCCATTTGCCATTTCACTATCTTTGTCAGTCAATTTTGTTCAATTGAGTTGAAGTCGTAGGTGACATGGTACCGATCATCTGTGGACTATACGGGTAATAAAGGTGGATGGTGGTCATAATCCCTTTTAAGAGGTCCGCCGCTCTCTCCACTAAATAAGATCCCCTTCTTTGACATTGGTCCTTATCGTGAAATCCTCCTTAAACGAGTGCCTTCTCCAATAGTTTTTCATCCTAATATTTATTGCAATATATTATAAATAATTTAGCACAATATGTACAAACACGTCACTCTCTCTCAACAGAGAAATCACAGGATCAAAATAGTCCATGGCCTTATCAACATCAGAGACCAGCGATGGATCTGTACTCTGTGACGGATACGGTCATGCAAGGAGCGTGATCAGTTCATCGGTTTGAAAAAGATACTTATTGACATCGACGTCATCTTGCAATGTTGAATTGGACTCCGATTCGTCAGCGTCGGATGCGTTAGACCCTGAAACGAATTCTATCGAAAACCTGATCGATATGAATTTTGGAATGAGTCTCACACCATACCAATATCTACAAAGTAAAGTTCATCGTCGATCACTGGCACATGATCTTGCTTGCTCGATTTGATGAACTTGGAAGATTCGTCTTGCCGGCAAGAGCCCTGCAATTTGGGTTATAGCACGGTTGCATATGAGGATGAAAAAAAATCTTACTTTGTCGTCTTTGTTGTTGAAGTCCATATTAAGGGTGAAGCCGACTTTGCATTGACATGTTATTGTTTTCTCGCTGCAGTAACTGTTTTCAACAATACATCTGGAAGTGGGCTTTGTATAGAGCTTATACTACCTCGAGTGCATGATAAGCAACAGTGCACCATCTCAGAGGAAATGCTCAGAACCCGATTGGCGCGAATGACAACTGCATGTGATTGGTTATGGCGAACAACCGACCAATAACAGGCATTCCCCACACGCTCCATGTTCGTCTACACAATGTGTTGTTATCAGCTGCGTCTATAGAATACAAACCAACCGTTTCTCCTCAACCAATGTCTCCAAACAATATCCTCCAATTGTTCCATTAGTCCTTTCATCTACAGAGTCCATGAAGATTACTGTTGTGGGATCGTAACATCTGAAAACGAGCGTCATTTTTTTTTCATATTCAGATACAAAAACTCTGACCAACCTTCCAGCAATATTTGCAAAGCCTTCTGGGCATCCAGTGACACACTTGCCACCGTGTACTAGTGGTTTCGTTGCAGGGCAAGACGCAATACCCGCTGTCACACGTAGCGTTCGGTTCTCTGGTAGCGCATTGCTCATCGGATAGGCAACCTTTCTGTCGTCATTGGTTAACCAGGCGTCCTCTATTGACATGCCAAGGGCCCCACCACTTCCAGTAGAATGTCCACCAGGATTCTTCCTTATCGAAGATAAATGTCTCAAAGGTGAGTT